AGTGGCAAATATTTCATGCATATTCAGGACGAGAACAAATTAACAATAAATACAATAGGTAGGTTCAAAACAAAGTAAGAGAAAAGTTTTATGAATCATGATTATAATTACCAGTTACCTATTATTTTTCATTTGATATTGTTTCAATTTTCAGATTTTGACAATTACGTTTAATTCGGTATATTTCTTTTTCAGGTAACTGTGGCTGCATAAAAGGGCTATGTGATTTTACTGTTACAGTAAAGAATGTAATTCAGACTATTTTTGTGTCTGTTTGAGAAAATGTTTATAATTTTTACAAAAAGAAAAAAAAAATTATGTACAGGTTCTCCATTTTCAACAAGATTGGAAGTTGAAGGTTTATAGGTCTTTGAAATTTCAAAAATTGCTTTCTATTTTCTGTTCATACTCATGTCTAGTCTAGGCAAAACACTTCCAGTAGTTTAAGAATGGAGAATTTAAAAAAAAAGAAAAAGAAAAGAAAAGAAAAAAATGTTCAATTATTGAAATGTTTTTATTTTTGCAAATTATAATATATTTTTTCACTTTGTATCATTTTTAGCTGAGTTTATAACAAAGGGTATATTATTTTAAGAATATTTTACAAGAAGCATAGTTGAAGAATATCTTGATGAAAGAAGATTGATTGATTTTTGGTATTTAACACCACTTTCAGCATGATTTGCTATATCTTGGCTGCCAGGTTTTATTTGTGGAGACAGCCTGGTGAAAACATCCCCTTCAACAGAGAAACTGGCAACTCTAGTCAATTAAGATTGACATTAAACACACCTACAATGTGAGGGTTCAGAGTGTTGACAGGCTAGTGATACAGTAGTTGAACTACTTTGACCATTCAGCCACCATTACTCCATCCGCACTAAATATGTTATTGAAATGTGATAAATTTTTGTAATTTATTTTTTTAGTTTGATTACCGGTATACTATTTATGTTTTTTTGTTATATATAACAAAGATGTGGAGTTCTAACAGGGTGAAATTTAGGTCAAAGGGAGGTAATTTATTATACTGTGTTTAACTTCAAATACTTGAAATTCCCTCAATGTTAGATTTTTATTTTCTTGGATACTCACATTTATGCACTTTTTTTTTTACATATCAGATGTTTTCTAGATAATAGAAATTTAGGGTGGGAAAAATTATGTGTCACTTAAAATAGTTACGTGAAATTTTTCATAAAGTTTATTAATTGAAAGTGCATCTGATATTTTTTATGTATGTTACTTTATTTTCTAAAACAAATGGACACAACATAGATTGACAATAAGATATTGAGAAGAACCACCTTGTCAGCCAAGATAGCAGCTCTTAGGAAGATGGTCAATTAAATCTTCAACCAAGTCTGACTCTTTACCATGAAAATAGAAAAGGCAAGTTTATTTTAGCCAGATCTTTTAAGATAACAGACCCTTCTTAAATATTGCATTTAAAACACCATTGATGAATTGATTTACCAGTTTAGTATTTAAAGATACAAGATACATGAACAAGATTTTCTATTAAAATATCAATAGTACATCCTAAAAATAGTCATTAAACTTCAAGAAAAGACCAGTACAATTTAAAACACGATTTTGCATTCAATGGGAGATAACTGTGTAAAATATTCAGATATTTTTTGTGCAGTTAAATTTAAATCTGACGTTTTTTTACTTTTCTATCTTTTATATTGATTTAAAAAAAATGATTTTATACGATTGTCTACCTGCAATAAGAAATCAGAGCAATATTTAGTAAATTTTAGGTTATCGGTAACACATAAATTGATTTACAAAATGTATAATGTGTTGATTATAATTTCATTTCAGGTTCTTTCTGAGACATGTTTTCATGGTGTGGGAATAAGACTTGGTGGTCTTATACAGCTAATACAAAGGTATGTACCAGTATGTTAGTCCTGTTTTGGAAAACTCAAATGTATTATAAATATTTTATGGAAAAACAAGATTTGAACGCTTAAAAGATTTTTTACAGGAATCTACTCTTATTATTATATCAGTAACCAAATAAGAGTAAAGTTTAGGATCTGAATTGTTTACATAAAAATGTGTTGGCTTGTTGAATTGCTGTCTCATCCATATGTTCTTGACATATATAACATATTTTAAGACTATTTCTATTTAATGATTTGCCACTGGACCTGAAGCAACCAACAACCAATCATTCAATCTATTCAATATGCATACATAATACCAACAAAGAACCTTTTAAACGGTTTTTATACGCCCGTTTACGGGACGTATTATGGTATACCGTTGTCCGTCCGTCTTGTCTGTCAGTCCGTCGTCAACATGTCTGACATTAACTCAAAAACACTTTAACCAATTTGCATAAAACTTTGGTGAATTAAGTTTATATCTATTGATGTGAGCTCCCTTTCATTTTTTATAAATTTTAGATTTTACGTTTCCGAGTTGTGGGGTTTTATTCATTAAAAAAAGGAGGGTTTTCCAGTTTTCGGACAATAACTCAAGAATGCTTTCACCAACTTGCAAGAAATTGTGGTGAATTGTTTATATCTATTGACATGAGCTCCCTTTCGATTTTTATAAATTTTAGATTTTACGTTTCTGAGTTGCAGGGTTTAATTAATGAATTATCATTTTATATTTCAGGTTAGCATCACAGCTTGTCTGTAAGGATTGAAGCTGGGAGTGGGCATTGGAGCTGACTTTTATGGTAAGAATCAATACATAGATTTATGAACTTTTCATCCAAGAGCATTTTAAAGCCCAAGATTTTTGTTAGACACAGATGTAAATCTTACATATTAATATCTTCTTTACTTATAGTTGAATAAACAATTTAGGAGATATAAAGATATATAAGGGAAGTTAAAAAGTATAATGTATAATGCGAAATCTTGGGATTTCAGTTTTTTTGTTATCTATAGTTGTCCCCATATATGAAAATATGTAAGTGTGGTAAGTATGCCAATGAGACAGCTATCAACCAGAGACCAAATGATGTGGATGCAACTAAATGTCACCCTATGCCTTCAACAATGAGCAAAACCTATATTGTATAGTTAGCTATAAAGGTTCAACATGACTAAATGTTAAAAAAATTCAATCAAGTATGTTAATAGCCTGATATACTATAAAATAGTGTTGTCAAATCGTACAGTTTTGACTAACCGGTTACTCAGGTAATTGTTCGACCGATTAACCGGTTAACCGGTAGTTTTAAGTTGATGCGTCTTATCTATATATATATATATATACCCTACAAATGTACGTTTTTATAATATGATAAAATTGAAGTTGGCATTATAAGGCTTGTCTGTGAGGATTGTTGGCGAAGTTTGACTTTAGATAATCCAATACACCGTATCAACTATGGCGTTTGTACTAACTTCATATTGAAAAATAAAAAACCTATTTGATCTCGTCGAATTGAAAATGTCTGAAACCGATAATTCTTTAATTTTTTCTTGATGATTAAGAAAGTAATGTGGAGTGTTTAAATTTGAAATAATAAAGTGTGTTACTCGTAGCATCAAGTATACATTAATTACATTCACGTTGATTTGCATTTCAAAATTTTTGAGTTGGCATTTCGTTTACAGTATGACACATTCAGATGTAGGTCTACGCAATATCAAATCAAAAATAAAATAATGGAGTAAATTGTAATACTTAATCGAATTACTGATTAAAAGTTAATTTTTAAAAACCATGTATGCTAATTATGTTTCATTAAGATCTTGCCCAGAGCTGATAGACAACTTGTCTAAATCTAATTAATATGATGTTTTTAGGATTATAACATCTATCAATATACTGGACAATTAGCGTTTTTGGTATTCGGTATTCGGTCCTTCCGACGGTTAACTGGTTAACCGTTGACAACACTACTATAAAATAATGTTAAAAAGATATTTGTCAAAAACCCAGCCAATGACTTGTTTTTCATCCTTTTATTGCTAAGAAATACTGGTACTTTAAAATTTATGTCAACAAATCACTTTATAACAAAGAAAAAGAAATGTTCTATACATTATAATTGTAATGCTCAATTAATTATAATTGTTTTGCATTAAATATTATTTCAATGTTCATGACTAATGTATATTTCTTTTTCAGATAACTGTGGCTGCATAAAATGGTTGTGTGATATAACTGCAACAGTAAAGAATGTAATTCAGACTATTTTTGTGTATGCTTGAGAAAATGTTTATAATTTTTTTATGTAAAGATTCTCCATTTTCAACAAGATTGGAAGTTGTAGGTTAACTTGTATTTGACATTACAAAAATTCTTTCTATTTTCCGTTTATACTCATGTCTAGTTAAAACACTTCCAGCAGTTTAAGAATGGAGAATCTAAAAAAAAAAAAAAAAAAAGAAAAAGAAAGAAAAAAAAAAAAAAATGTTCAATTATTGAAATGTATTTTTTTTTGCAAATTGTAAAGTATATATTTTTGCCACCTTTTTGTTATTTTAGGATTTGAGATACTTTCAAATTTTACAAGTTACTTTATACATGTAGTTAATGCAATTAAATCTGCCGATGTGAATATTCCCACTAAATTTCTTAGCAAAAATTTTACTTATTTTTGGTTTTTTTAGCAACGTTTCAAAATACCTTACCATAGCAAATGTCTCTCTAGTGTAAACTAAAAAGATGAATAATGGTCTGCAGTAAATATATCCCCTTACAACCTTTTCTTTCATGTTAATTTTGATATCTTTGAGATATGTGTCAAGGGTGCTCTAATGCAGAGGAATTTACGAAGTTAAGAAGTTAGAAATATATTTTTTGCACTTTTTTTGTCATTTTTAGCTGATTTTGGTTTGTAACCAAGGTGATATTTTTTAAAGAATAATTTTACAAAAGGCATAGTTGAAGAACATCTTGTTGAAATTGGATTGGTTGATTTTTGGTGTTAAACACCACTTTAACATGATTTATTATAATTTTGGCTGTAAATTTTTATTTGTGGAGACAGCCAGAGACTGCCTGGTGAAAACATCACCATCAGGGAAACGGGCAAACCTTAGTCAAATTAAGAATGAAGTTACACATTTCATGTGAGGGTTCTCAGTGTTGACGGGCTAGTGATACATTAGTTGAACTACTTATAGGACCACTCTGCCACCATAAGTCGATCAGTACGAAATATTTTATTGAAATGTGTTAGATTTTTGTTATCAATCTATTTTTTAATTTTAATTGTACTATTTTATTTATTTTGTTTAATATAACAAGGATGTGGAGTCCGAACAGGGTGAAACTTGGGTCAAAGGGAGGCAATTTATTATACCCCTGTTTAACTCCACATACTTGAAATTCCCTCAATGTTAGGATTTTCATCTACTTGGATATTCATGTTTGTACATTTTTTTTTAATATCAGATGTATACTAGCTAATAATGACTATTATTTAGAGCTCTGTAATAAAAAAAAATAAATGTAAGCAGAGCTCTAGATAATAAGTATGCAGGGTGGGAGAAATCTTGGGTCATTAACAATTGATTTGCTGAAATTTTCAAGTAAGGGGATTTATTGGAAATGCATCTGATATATTTAATGTATGTAACTCAATTTTAAAGAAAAGATGTTAAGATGATGAGGAGAGCCACCTTGTCAGCCGGGAGAGCAGCTCTGAGGGAGATGGTCAATTTAATCTTCACCAAGTCTGAGGCTTTACCATGAAAAATATGTGGTAAGTTTATATATTCCACAAATTTTATGGTAATAATATTTATATAGGAATTTAACATTATTTTTTAAGGGTTTTCTTCTATCAGTGTTTGATTTTTAGAGTATCTAGTCTTACATTTGTTTTCTGTCTGGTATCGAGTGAGCTGTGTTGGATAGAAACCAACTGTATGCAAATTATTATCAATGAATTTGTAAACTTATTTGGGTCGAACAAATTTTTATGCAAAGTCTGTAACTGTTTGAATATTGAATTGATATAGAATCATTTTCATAAAAGCGTGGACAAGACAATTTCTTGTCGCTCTTATGTTATCTATCGACTGGGTCAGATAAGGTGAAAGTTTGTCTGTAACGCCCACTTGTCACATTGTACGTGTTATGGACATTTAAACTCGGGTCGCCAAAGGTTCTAAATGCCTACATCAAATAGTACGAATTACTAGCAGAGGACTAAACCTTGTGTGTTGATTTAAATGTTGAATAATTATTTTCTTTTTTTCTTCTCTTGTGTCTACATGTACTTTGCTCTTTTATTCTATTTAAATCCCTATTGGAAGGCCTCTGACAGACTGAGTGAGCGTAAAATCACTATTATCAATAGCCGATGGCAAACAAGTTAAATGTACTGTAAATTCAGAAATTATTGCGTGCAATTATTATTGCGATTTTGTAATTGCCTCGCTTGACGGAGTCAAAAAGCGAGACATAGGTATGCTGTTTCCGTCGTCAACAATGTATTAGTTTGTGATTAGGTCTAGTTTATGGTGAACCACTAGTGGTAAGTCAAAGATATTTGGTATGCAGTTGTATAAGTATTGGCACATCTCATTACCATGGAGATTATTTGGCCCCACCCCCTCAGTTATGGTCTATTGACTTTGAAACTTTGCTTAGTTTTCATGTATAAGTTTGTGATTAGGTTAGTATATGCGGAATCACTAGTGGTAAGTTAATGATATTTGGTATGCAGTTGTATTAGCATTGGCACATCTCATTTCCATGGAGATTATTTTACCCTGACCCTCAGTTATGGTTTATTGACTGAAATTTTGCTTAGTTGACATGTATTAGTTTGTGTTTATGTTTGTTTAAAGGGAACTACTTATGATAAGTCAATGGTATTTGGTATGCAGTTGTATTAGCATTGGCACATCTCATTTCCATGGAGATTGTTTAGTCATGTACCTTCAATCATGGTTCATTGACTTTGAATATTTGCAAAACTTACATGTTATAGTGTTGCTATTTTAATTTCAACATTTGCATTATCGAAATTACAAAAAAGCAAGACATATCTCTGTGATAACAGTTTATTTTAGACTAAAATGCGATTTTAATTTTTGTGATATTGAGAAAAATCCTGTTTAATTCATATAAAATTTTTTAAAATGCTAGTTTAAATTATTTCCAATACAACCATGTTGCATTTTTCACAATAATAAAAACATTGCAATAGTTTCTGAATTTACAGTAATTGAGTTAGTATTATTACCAACATAAGTATATGGGTTGTCTACACTGTTATGAAAATGATTTTAAGAACCATCAAAAGAGAACAAAACCATCCGATTTTGTAATTGAATGTTCCAAAATTATTGTCTTATACATATACGTGCACTTGCACAAGGTCAATTTCTATCTCTAGCAGCTTAAGTTTATATAGTGAAGATGATAATGTATAACAGGTTTTAATAAATGAAACATAGCATTATTTTGTTAGTCTTCTTAGAGACAGATTGATCTGTAAAACAAGTAATTATTTTTTAATTTTTTTTCATTTTTAGGTTGTTATAATGATGATGTTTTCATGGTGTTGGGAGTAAGACTTGGATGTCTGATATTGTTAACATGTTGGTAGGTAATCAAGCATCTTTTTAGTAATATAATATTTGAATAAGGTTCTTTAGTACCAAAAAATAATTTATTCTGATGAGATACCAGTTGAATTTTTTTGGTAAATATAAAACTATGAGTTTATAATTCAGAATACCAAATATTTTTTCCATGATTTTTTGTTATCCTAGTGCAATTTTAAATTTAGTACATGTGTAATAATTTTTCTAGGAAAGTTTAGTATAGGTTAGCATCAGGTTTCCATTGGGTTACTTGCTGGGATAAAGCTGTTATAAGGTGAGAACTTATTCATCAACATACAACTTTAATGTGTTTATGTTATAGTGTGATGAATGTCACTAAATAGATTTCAAAATGTATATTTTTTTTTAATTTACAATTAAAAAAAATCAGTATTCAATCTTTTCATTTAAAAATAATGTACCCTTTAAAGCAGATACTAGATCTGAAGAAGATATATGAAGGGGAGATAACAATAAAATCTGATTAAGAGATAAGAAGGGGAGATAACCTAATAAAATGATAACCTAATAATTTATAATTAGGATAAAACTAATGAGGTCATAAAAAAAGATGTATGATTATCTTTTCATTTAGTCTTCGTTTTTTTATTACTAATTTTAAAAGAATTTATTCCTAAATTTTATCTGGGAGAAACTAATTTTTGGAGTAAGAGTCGCTAAAATAGCAGAAAAAAACAAAATAGGCATTAATTTTATGTTTGTCTCATGTGAATTTAGAATTTATCAAGTAAGCATTAGCTGCTAAATTTGTTCAAAATGATTGTTCAGACATTTTGGTTCAGTTGTAAAGTCCTGACAAATGTACTTTAATGCATCAAGGTTTATCATTTTTACAATCACTGCATATTTTTGATACTATATATTTTTGAGTAATCAATATAAGTAATAAACAAATTGTTTAAAATACATTGGTGTCTGTTTCTTTATTCCTGTAAGACTATTTTAAAATTAAGAATCAACAATTGAAATTTAACTTCGTTTCTTTTCAGTCGAAAGAGTTGCTGTTGCTGCCTTCCTTGTATGGTAAAATCCTCAGACTACAATCCTGCAAACCATTGGATGAACTGTTGCTATCTTTCGTAAAAAAATCAGCAGATATTTGTCTTATAAGCAGAATGAATTATAAATGCAATTAATTTTTAATGCTTTATTATTCAAATTATAAATATTTATTTCATTATTTTTTCTTGCATTCAATTATTGTTTTGTGATTGAAGAAATATAAAAAAAACTGTGAAATTATTGTTATTTGAGAGGTCCCAAAGGTATGATGTATGGTTTCACAAGATACCCATAAGACTTGCTTCAGTTTACATATATTTTTTAAGTTATGTACACTGGTTAAGATTTATAAGTCCTTTGTGAAATGATTTTTTCTGGTTAGAAACCTATTAAGTAGGACTTTGATGGCCAAACACTAAAAGGGAATAAAACAAATCCCCTATTAAACAATTTAAGTACTGAGTTTTTGGTGCAATATGAACTAGAAATAAAAATGTTTAGTTAGATGGTTTGTTTTGGCTCTGCATTCTTTACATTCATACAAATTAATGGCTGTCAGTTTTATATATTGGTTTTGTTTATATATTATAAATGCATTATTCAGCATCTGAGACCACTCAAGTGAAAATAATTACATAGTTTTTGCAGTTTGTCATATTTTCTCATTTTTGTGTGATTGATATCTATATTTTTTCTCATTTATGATTATTTATATTTTAATGTTTGATTTTTGAGGCTTGTACTCCGCTTCTAAACAATTACCCCCCTCCCCCCTCCACATGTATAACCAGGATCCTGTAAAAGAAGTTTTGATTTTGAAGGATGGATGGATAATTAAAAATGCAAGATTTTTTTAATGTGCTAGTTCATAATGTAAAAGTCTGCACAAGACATCTAACCCTACCTGAACACATTATTCTGACTTCCAGCTGACCAGTCTTTGCTCCTACTCCTAATTGCTGAATGCTTAGCAGGGGAGCATTAAATACCAATTTTCAATTCTTTGATATGACCCAGGGCAGGACCAAATCCCATGCCCATCTGCACTCATGTTGAGCATAAAAAGGCTATTAAAGAAGATTTGTCTGCCTGTTTGTCCATCATCATCTCTCATCCACAGCTTATAAACTATTGTAAGGTTTTCATTTAAACTTTCAGATTATCTTCTGTATCTAATGGCTGTGTGTATTTTATTTTATTATAATGAAATTTTGGGGTTCTCAATTGTAATGAATGGACCTAAGTATTTGAAAAAAAAAAAGGGAAAGAAGCTTCTCATACCACCATTTTGTCATGTGAAGGATAAGTTGGTTCAAATATATTTGTTTTTAATCATGTTTTTAGTAGTTGGATCTCATTATGACAAAATTTTAATGACTTAAATTCAAAACAAATTTGGGGTTCACACTGATATATATTACCACTGTAGCTTTAATGTAAATTTGATAAGGCTTTGCTATAACAAGATTTGTGTTTTATCTGGTTTTATCTGATTTTAGTGGATTTTATGTGATTTTATTTGTTTTTACTGTCAAATCTTGTTATACCAAGCCTTAGTATGATTGAGTTTATATATTTTGATTATACATGCAATTCAAAATATAAATTTACATAATGAGATCAGACATTTATTATGCTTTTAACTCTTCTTAGTGGATAAAATAGAAAAATGAAAGAACATAAATAGTGAAGTGGTCGTTGAAGATTGACCAAATTACAAGATTTATAAATGCAGAATCTTGCTCTAACTAAATCCATGTTCTTATCAGCTGAACCAACCTATCCTTCAATATGAGTAATAAAATTTTATAAATGGAAAAGTCCATTCTTCGATTGGGGAACCTTTGGATGTGAAAAAAAATATACACAATGCCAACAGATACTGAAGATTACTTTAAAGTTTAGGCAAAAACAATTAAATCCTTTAATTGTGATTGGAAGTTGTAGACGGATGAGCAAACAGATGATATACTTGCTTACTATGGCACATTTCCTAAAGGATATGGACTATGGGTATGGGTTTTGCTCATGGTTGAAGGCTGTAGGTGACTGATAGTTGTTAAATTCTATGTCATTTGGTCTCTGGTGGAGAGTTGTCTCGTTGGCAATCATATCTCCTCTTTTTATTTTATATGAAATAATTACTTATTACTTCCTGGGCAAAAAGTTCTGGTTCCAAGAAATATAATAACAAAAAATACTTATATCATACATGTATTGTTAAATAACTATCCTACTTTGATATAAAGAATTGACTTTGTTTATAAGAAATTGGGAGGAATTATAAAGAAACTTTATATACAATATAAGAGCTTTGGGGTTATAAATGTTTAATGAAATGCAGTTAACTATTTCCTTGGTGATCTAATAATTTTTGCACAGATCACGATATTAGTTTATTTAAATAACCCAGTAAATAAATTGAGTACACCTCATAAATGAATTCGATTCATGTATTTTTATGCATTTTTTATCTTAGTATTTACCATTGTATTCCTTGTTATATTTGTAAATGCCTCTTTGTATGTGACAAACTGAGGATTCATATATTTTATGGAATTATATAAATTTATTTTTAAGTTTGGTATTTAAAAGTATTGGAAAGCACCAAGTTTAATATTGAGCAAAAAAAATATTCCTTTAAGACCTAAGGATATTAAAATTTGAGACATGTATCTCAGAACAGAATTGATTTTCTAAATTCTATTTAAACAGCTAGTCTGGGAACTGGTATCAAGACACTAAAAAGAATCCTCAGCTCTGTCAGTTATTTTGTATAATTGTAATATTTAACCAATGATACCTTACCCATGATGCAGATCCTTTTCCTCCTTTTACTTATAAAGGGACTAAAAACTTATTATTATTACAATTTCTTTGGTATTTGTACACACTTGATGGAGCAGAATGGGTCTGGTTTCATTTGGGTATTTTATATTATGATGCATGATAATGATATAAATAAATAGGTAAATAAAAATTTAATTGAGAAAACCTATCTTATATTTTATTTGAGTCTGAATGACAAATAAAGGGGGAAGAGGTTTCTGTGGTCAAGGGTAACACACAGCTGATTTATTGTATGGCATGGACGAAGTTGAAAAAACGAGACTTGGGCATGCTTTTTGTCGAGCCTTCGACTTTAGTCGAAAAAGCGAGACATAGCGATCCTACATTCCGTCGGCGTCGTCGTCGGCAGCGTCCACAAATTTTCACTCTGTGGTTAAAGTTTTTGAAATTTTAATAACTTTCTTAAACTATCCTGGATTTCTACCAAACTTGGACAGAAGCTTGTTTATGATCATAAGATAGTATCCAGAAGTAAATTTTGTAAAAATAAAATTCCTGTTTTTCCGTATTTTACTTGTAAATGGACTTAGTTTTTCTGCCAGGAAACAATATTTTCACTCTGTGGTTAAAGTTTTTAAAATTTTAATAACTTTCTTAAATTATCCTGGATTTGTACCAAACTCGGACAGAAGCTTGTTTATGATCATAAGATAGTATCCAGAAGTAAATTTGTTAAAAAAAAATTTCATTTTTTCCGTATTTTACTTATAAATGGACTTAGTTTTTCTGCCAGGAAACAATATTTTCACTCTGGTTAAAGTTTTTAAAATTTTAATAACTTTCTTAAACTATCCTGGATTTGTACCAAATTTGGACAGAAGCTTGTTTATGATCAAAAGCTAGTATCCAGAAGGAAATTTTGTTAAAATTTGTACCTGTTTATCCATATTTTACTAATAAATGGACTTAGTTTTTCTTCCAGTTAACATTAAATACAGTCTGCAGTTAAAGTTTTTAAAACATTTATTAGATTCATAAACTATCCTGGATTTATACCAAACTTTGACAGAAGCTTCTTACAATCAAAAGATAGTATCTAAAGGAATATTTTTATTGATTTTTTTTCCTCATTTTTGTTGAGCCTGCGATTAACAGCAAAAGTAGGCGAGACACTGGGTTCCGCGGAACCCTTATGAATTTTTCCATAAGCAGCAGCTTCAACAATGTATTTGATTGTGATACGTTCCAAGTTAAAGAAAACAACTAGTGGTAGGTCAATGATATTTGGTATGCAGTTATATAAGCATTGAAACATCTTATTTCTAAGGAGATTATTTTGCTTCTCTCCCTCAGTCATAGTCGACTTAAAACTTTTAATTAGTTTACATGTATAAGTTTGTGATTAGGTCAATTGAAAGGGAACTATAAGTGGTATGTCAATGATATTTGGTATACAGATCTATAAGCATTGACAAATCTCAGTTCTATAGAGATTGTTCAGCTCCAGCCTCAGTCATGGTTTATTGACTGAATGTTTTGCATTATTTACATGTGATTTGTGATTAGATCAGTTTAAGATGAGTGACTAATATCTGATATTTGTTATGCAGTTGTATTGGCATTTGCAAGTCTCATTTTCATACAGATTATTTGGTCCCACTTATCATGGTTCATGGACTTTGAAACTTTCACAGTTCAACAAGGAACCAATTGATAAGTTAATGGTGTTGGGTATGCAGTTTTATAAGCATTGGCATTTCCATGGTGTTTTTTGCCCTGAACCGTCAGTCATGGTTCATTGCATAGATAACACGTTTAAATATTGCAATTTAATTTCAACATTTGCATTATACCACCAAAAAACGCAAGACATATCTCTGTGTCAACAGTTTATATTTCCATCTCTTGGTACCTTTCAACATCATGTTTTGAGTTTTAAATCTCACAGAAACTTCTCTGCTGGTTTAAACAAGACTTGACACAAATGATACTTAGGAATTACATGACAAATGTTCTTTGGACTTGCTGATTACCTGATTGGCTGCCAAGTCTTTAAATAGATCTAGAATTCTAAAATGATCTAGTTTATATAAAGGCTCATCAGATACAAAACACAGGGATACAGATCTAGCAGTGGATGCTCCTGATATAAAACTTCATAATCCAGACTCAAGAAGAATGAGTTAATCCATATCTTGTATGCAGTTGCCTTATGGTCTGGTTTAATCTGGCATATGAACATTATCTTGATTCCATTTTTAAGGGTATGTGTACATTATTTTTTTTCGAATTAATTTGACAGTTTTTATGTGTAATAAGGACAATTAATTCTCTTATGGTTATTGCCTGTGATCTATTTCTCACATGAAGAGATATATTTTGTATCAC